TGTTGATGAAGGCCTCATAAATTTGCACGATAAAGGAGATCTCATATACTATGGTGCAACTGGGTTAAAGCTGACAGCATCAACTAACCGGGTTGAGTTTAAGGAAATAAAGCAATTTCCAAGGGCTTGGATTCGAATTCTTACAAAATTGCTTCTAATGAAACAATACCTCTACCTATCAATCCGAACAGCATTATCAATTCAAACATAAATATTATGCTAGACCAATGTATTTGCCCGGCAAACCGGTAAACACTTCTGCTACCCCTTATGCAAATATAACACCTTATTGGAAGCAAAATTTTCCTTCAAAACATACTCATGGATACGTAGCATGATCAGATAGTACTACAGTATTGCAACTATCAATGCCAACTAGCAGCAGTGCAAAAGAACAAACAAACGTTTCATCAATCGCTCCTTCACCTTTCCATCATAGTATCGTCGACCTCGTGCGCTGGTTGATTCACCGGAGAACCCTAATCCACCATACTCATGAACTCAGGGTCCCTTCCTAGAGCTTCCAGAATCTCATAAGAAGCGTTCACCTCATGTCAAGCTACCTTCTTCTGCTCCCACATCAGTCATCAGCTTCCATACATTTGTATTGGCGATGCTGCTTCGAACCACCGCCGGCCGTCCCCAGCCGAAATAAACCGTGTAGAAGTTGGTCCTGGTGGAGCTTCCGGTTGCCAAAACATTCCCATTGTGCCACTCTGAAAACTTATTGTTGGATTTTGTACCCAATCTTCAAACTCCCTCTTGATCTTTTCTTGTGTGTATGATGAGACGATCTTGTTCATCTGCGAAACAAACTTCCCATGTCCTCCATCTCCCAACAGATCCCTTACTTTCATCGTCAGACGCGTGAATTGCACAGTGTTCCCGACGTAGTTGTCTGGTATTGGTGGGTGAGAGACTCTCGATTCCGAAGTCGCAACGAATCTGTAAGTTACGTCTTCCTCTGGATCAAGATGCTGGTTTCTGATCACAGACCCCCAAATATGGCCGATAACAGCCTGTAGCGAAGAGATTCTGTTCTTGATGACACCATCCTCGACCTCTGATTTAGCTTTAGCTTTGAGTTCAGCGATTTTTTCCCTTTTGAAGTGGAAGATCCTCTTGGGGAATGGAGGTGGCTGAGTGTACTGCTTACTATAATTCTCCATTGCTTCCCTGAATGGGATTCTTAAAGGTCGTTTGATATTCCCATGAGGAAACCATTGTTCGAATGAAGCGACATTAGAATTTGAATCTATGTGGTTTAAACCATTCGATTTTGAATCCATGAGGTTTAAACCATCTCGGGAGATCTTAGCCCACGTATTCAAGAAAAACAATACCGTCTTCATATCAGCAATACAATGGTTTATTGAGCAAGCAATGAAGATGCCATCCACAAGCTCTGTAACTTGAGCAGCCAGTAATGGGATCCGAGTCCCTTCGAAGGTTTTGGAATTACTTTGTGGGAAGAAGGATTGGACAACCGGAGGAACATAAACGGGTTCAAGAATGTCAGCAATCGTCGTGTTCTCGGCAATAGCATGAACAAAGCTTGCTCCGGCATTGTTGCAAGTGATGAAGACGGAGGAGGTGCCATCATCGCCGTGGCGGACGATGGCAAGGCGGCCGGCGAGGGGCAAGAAGAAGTCAAGGGTTGAAGAAAACGAGTCCTTAAGGTGCTGTATCAGTGTCCGTGTGTGGTTTGACGGTGATAATATGGGAGGTTTGTGGAAAAGAACACCCTTTTGAGCATAATCATAGAGCAGAAACCGAAGACCCCATGGATTGAGGTCGATTTTTTTGGGTGGATCTTCATGATTAACGCATCTTCCTGCTTGGATTGTAGTTGTTGAGATCACTCGAAAACCTGCCGCCATGTGATAGCGCGTGTGGTGTTTCTCATCAACGAAAGGACTAGGCAGAAATGATGAATCTAAAATTGAAAATCATACTGACGAACAAAAATTGCAACATAATTATGCAGTAGCCGGCCACTTCTCATGCTCGCATGCCCTTTACGTGGCAGTTTGCATGTGAGGATTTGTTTCTATTAGGTGAGATGGAGACAGGAACGGAGTTCCTTGAAACACTTGCCCTCTTTGTGTTTTTAAAGCCTTGGAGGGATTCACGTACCAGGTGTCACATCCCAAATTTAAATTCAAATACTAACTTGAGTCATTAGTATAAAAATTAGTTGAAAATTCAATTTATTCATAAATATAAGATCTCAACTCATTTTGTCTATGATATTTATCTGTTTTTTAAAGTAGTTTTTATATTGATTGCACATGTTAAAAGACTTTCATCACATAGAAGTTCTAATACACATGATTAATAAAGATATACTACTTTCGGTCTTTAGTATAAAAGCTAGTTTGACATTCAATTTAATCCTAAATATAACACCCCAATCAATTTTGTCTCTTATATTCATCTATTTTTTTCAAAAGGGTCTTTAAAGTAGTTGTATATGTAGCTAATACACATGATTAGTAACAGTGTTCAAGAAAAGATAACACATGTTTATTACAAATAACTAACTTAACAAATTTTCTTAATCTACTTAAATTAGTCAACTAGCCTTATATTAAAGATAGGAAGTAGTACATTTTAAGAAAGATAATACCTATTTATTATAAATAACTAATTTAATTAATTTTTTAATATTAATAAACTAGTTATTTTACTTCTATAGTAAACACTGGATTGCTTCAAGCTAAGAGAGAGTTCACATGTTGTTCTATGTTCTGTAGGTCCCAAAACTGCGTGTGACCGATTCTGATTCGGTGAAACTATGGGCTGGCAGCATCGTGAACACCATATCTGAGCAGTGACCAGTGAGGTTGCATGAGACTTATCTCATCTTGTACTGTTATAAATGTAATTTCAGAGCTACAGGTCATGAGAAAAGAATGTTTCCACTAAATTCTCTCTCTACTTAATTTCTTCATCCAAAGATTAACTTTTAATGGTTGAGATTTAAACTTGAGTAAAACTATTATTATAATATCAAATATAAAAAAAATTTATCATATTAAACTACTTATATCAAATTTTAACACTTAACAGTGTAAATTTATTTATATATATTTTTTATTATTTAACATTTAATATTTTAATAATATCTTTATAAAATAAGTCTTAGCCATTGAAGTTTGATCTAATAATAAAAACATTAAGTGAAGAGAGAGGTTAGTGGAGACATTCCTCTCCCATACAGTCATATCCCTTCACAAACAGACATGTGTTATCCCATAATAAAATAATAATTCTCCGTTTCTTATACTTAATTAATTTAGATATGCTAAAATAAATAAATAAATTACTTAATTTTAAGTCATGTAACATAATCTTCTTAAAATATTTTTATGTAACATTACATTATATATCAGTTCATCCTTAACTAGCTTCTAAATTTAGTACAGAGGAATAGTGTATTTCTTTTTAATTTGATGCAGCAAAATATAATTCTGAGATGATGGCCCTGGGAGTTTTGTGTCAAGTAACAAATTCATCATATATAATGGAGAGAGAAAATGGGGTTGAGATTGAATTTAATTTTGCATTTGATGAACATAATAAACTTCATACAAGTATTGTGTTTAGAAAATATATGTCTATGCCCTCTCTGCAGGCTAAGAGTAAACAATACTACTGCTACGTGTGCGTTTAATTTTATGGGTACATGAGCCCCGATGACTCAGTTTACATATTTACCGAGTTTTGTTTCCCAAGATTGTCATCTCAGCACTAAATATTGATTTTCAAAATAACTAAATCAAAAATTTAAGTCTAAAAAGAGAGACGCCGGGAGTGATACTTTTACATTTAATTTTAGTTTAATTCAATTTCTTAAAACGATTTCAATTTATGAAACATTTAAATATCTATAATAATGTATCTCGTGTGTCTCTAAATGTCATTTTCCATCCGCAACCCAAGTACTCCTCCTGTCGTTAATATATATAGGACCCAATTATTGAGTTGGTTTTGGTCTTAAATATACGACTCATTTCTCATATTTATCAATTTTCTCTAAATTACCCCTATAAATACTCTCTCAACCATAATTAAGTAGAAGAGGGAGATGGGGTATTAAGAAAGATGATTATGATGTTTTAGGAAAAATGTGTCATATTTCTTATAATTAACTAACTCACCTAACTTCTTTAATCTAATCAAATTAGTTAAATGGGTCTTATATTAAGGATCGGAGGAGTATGATTTATGATGTCTAATCACGTGTAATATCTTGTACAGAATGAGACTCATCCACTAAGTCAACTTTGCCTATAAAACAAGATCTGGATTCCCCATATATACACATAGATATAATATATACATATATATGTGTGTGTGTGTAAGCAAGAAACGGTAGATAGAACTTTACCCAAAAAAAAAAAAGGAAGTGAAAAGCATCTTGGAATTTTATTATATTAGCATGTCTTTTTTCCAATGTACTACCTCTGATTTTTAATATAAGATCTAGTTGACTAATTTGAGTAAATTAAAAAAATTAGTTAAGTTAGTTATTTGTAATAAATATATGTTATCTTTTTTAAAGTATCCTTGCTAATCAAGTATATTAGTTAAAATTATCATTAGTACAAGAACCACTTTGAAAAAAATTGATAAATATGATAGAGAAAGTAAATTGGAGTCTTATATTTAAAACGAAAATAAAAGTTAAACTAACTTTTATATTAATTACAGAAAGCATTATTAAAAAAGGACGACACCATCGAAACACACACACAAATACTATGGAATACAAAGATAATAAATGATATGATGAAAATTAAAATATGACATGAAGCTCTGCCTCTACTATCACAGTCGACCTGTTGGCAATGGCGGAGGAGGAGGAGGCGGCGGGGGCGGCGGAGACGACACCGCATGCATGAACTCGGGATCCCTTCCCATAAGTTCTAATATTTCATAGGAGATACAAAGCTCAATATCAAAGCTATCTTCTTCTGCTCCAGCATCAACTACTAAGTCCCAATCATACATAAAGGCTGGACCTCGACGAAGCGCCAAAGGCCTTCCCCAGCCGAAGTCAATAGTGTAAAAGTTGGATCTTTGGCTGCCACCAGTATGCATTACCTTCCCAAAGTTGCCACTTTGTAAACTGATGGTTGGATTTGGGATCAAAGCTTCAAAGTCGCTCTTGATCTTTTCTTCTGTGTATGATGAGATCACCTTGTTCATCTCCAAAGCAAACTTCCCAAGACCTCCCACTCCCACCAAGTCCCTTACTTTCATCGTCACGGTAGCAAATTGCACTGTGTTGCCAAAATAGTTGTCTGGAATAGGTGGGTTTGAAATTCTAGGTCTGGCAGTTATGAGGATGCTGTAATGCACTTCTTCTTCGGGATCAAGACGTAGATTTTTGATTGCATACCTCCAAACATGGCTGATAACAGCTTGCAGAGAGGAGATTTTGTTGCTTAGAATACCATCTTCTACTTCTGAGTTAGCTTTTGCTTTGAGTTCAGTAATATTTTCCCTTTTGAAGTGAAAGATCCTCTTAGAAATTGGAGGTGGGTGAAGAGAGCTAGCATATTCATCAGCATATTTCTCCATTATATCTCTCAAAGGTATTCGTATAGGACGTTCAATGTTACCATGGGGAAACCATCGTTCAAACGAAGCGAGCTTCAAATTTGACTCTATGGGGTTCAAACCATTTCGGCTAATCTGAGCCCATGTATTCATGAAATCCAAGGCCGGCTTCGCCTCACTAACACAATGGTTCACTGAGAAAGCAATGAAGATGCCATCCACAAGCTCTGTAACTTGAACCGCCATTAATGGTACATGAGTTCCTTCAAAGTTCTTAGATTTTCCAAGTGGGAAGAAGGACTCAACAATTGGAGGAACATAAGTGGGTTCGAGGATGTCGTCAATTGTAGTGTTCTCTGCGATAGCATGAACAAAGCTTGCTCCTGCATTGTTGCAACTAACAAAGACGGAAGAGGTGCCGTCATCACCACCATGTGGGACGACCGCAAGACGGCCGGCGAGGGGCACGAAGAAGTCGAGGGTGGAAGAAAACGTTTCTTTAAGATGCTGGATCACTAGTGGTAATGGCATGGTGGGTTTGTGGAAAAGAAGCCCCTTTTGACCACCCTCGAGAAGTAGAAAACGAAGGTCCCATGGATTGAGCTCGATTTGCTCAGGTGAGTCGCCATTATTAACTTGGCTTCGAGCTTGGATTGTAGTATTAGAGATCACTCTGATCGCTGCCATGGCAGTGGTTGGTTGGTGTTTTAACTTTCTTCAATCTCCAGCTTTAAAATGCTGTCATTTACATAAAAGATCCCTTATGCTCTATTCTCAATGTTAATCATCTAATCTTAAGTACGTCTCATTAGATCATCACATGTTAATGAGAATACTTTTATTAATATATCAGACATGATTTGATGAATGAATAAATCAACCAGTATTTCTCCCTTAAGCCACATGGGGCTTACAGTCTAATATGTTTGTTTATCATATCAATTGTCAACTCTTAACGTGTCCATGACCATTTAAGTGTACATCATGGCTAGTTAAATGGATCGTGGCGTGTTCTATATTAAATTTAAGTTGTATTGCTTATAACTCAAGAATAATGTAGTTTTTTTTTTTAGATTTTATATTAATTGCGTGTGTGTGTGTGTGTGTGATGATCTCTATCTATCTATTACAATAAGCTAAGTAAGTCAAAATACAAGTTGCGCTATTTACTACCTCCGGTCCTAATTATAAGACCCTGTTGACTAATTTGGGGAGATTAAAAAACTTAGTTAAGTTAGTTATTTGTAATGAATATGTGTTGTTTTTCCTAAAATATCCTTACTAATCAAGTTTATTGGTTAGATCTACCATTATTAGAAGGACTACCTTTGGAAAAAATGCATAAATATGAGAGACAAAATGGATTGGAGTTTTATAATTAGGACCAAAATAAAAGTCAAATGAGATCTTATATTAAGGACCGGAGGTAGTATTACTTATGATTAATATATATTCTGATATAAATTTTGTACTCCTCCGGTCCTTAATATAGGACCCAATTGTTGAGTTAGGTTTAGGGTGTGTTTGGGTGACACCCCAAACCATGGTTTGAAGTCACCCAAACACCTACCTAAAAACCAAAACCATGGTTTTGGGTCAAAACCATGGTTTTGGAAAAAGCAAAAATTTTTTGCTTTTGGAGAAAAAAGGGAGAGTGTGAGAACCTATAGGATATGTATCTTGTTATTTTTTTATAACATATTTTTTATAAACATATTTAATATTATATTTTATAAATATATATAATATTAATTATTTATTAATTATGTTATCTTATGTATTATTAATTATGTTGGTAAAAAATATTATTAACAATTTTATTCCTTCAAATTAAAATATATCATAAAATCTATTTTTTCTGTAATTATCATATTAACTTATGTTTTTTTTTTAGTAATTTGTATATATAAAAAGTGCTTCTGATAACAACTATCCAAACACTCTCACTTCTTAGAATCACTTTTTTACAAAATCTATTCTTCACAGAATCTATTCTCCCCAGAATCTATTTTCCAGAATCACTTTTCCAAACCACGGTTTGGTTTCATCCAAACACACCCTTGGTCCTAAATATAAGACCCATTTCTCATATTTATTAATTTTCTCTAAACTACCCCTATGGATACTCCCTCAACCATAATCAAATAGAAGAGGGAGATGAGGTATTAAGAAAGATGATTATGGTGTTTTAGAAAAAATGTGTCACTTTTCTTATAATTAACCAACTTACCTAACTTCCTTAATTTAATCAAATTAGTTAAATTGGTCTTATATTAAGGACCGGAGGAGTATTTTTTATTGTCACAATACGGTACATTGCCACAAGATTCATTTCAACCTTCATTGATTGATCATAAAATATTTCATTTTTTAACTAACACGATGGCTTCCCCCCCCCCTTTGGTTTTGGTCAACGATTCTATAGCATTTTAGGAGCTTATCAAAAGATATATTCTTAGGAATATGCTGGATGGTTTGATTATGTATTACTTTCCACAATGTTAAATATAATAACTAGTTGAACTAATTGAATGGTTTGTTTTGATTTTAAATATAAAATATCAATTTACTTTGTTTTATAAATTTATAATTTTTTCTCCCATTATTTATGTTGATTTCATATATTGAATGGATATTTTAAGAAAATTAACACATAATTTTTAATAAACAAGTAAATAGCCAAATCAATGTTCTTAATATATATAAATTAGTTAGTTAGCCCCTGCAAGCTCTAATTCTTTTTCAGCATAACTCTATGCTCTTGTATATTGAATAAACTTGGCCGAATTATATTTCATTTTATTTTAGTTTTTTCCTAGAGCCAAGTTTTCACTTTAGGCCTTTTTATACCATGGTTTTTGGTAAACAGGAAAGTTTTAATTACAATTAAAAATCATGGTTCTTTTTAGTTAAAATTTCAATAATCCGAGGTCCTGCATTCAGAAAAATTGCTTGATTACTAAAGAAACATGGTGGGCTTGGAATAAAAAATTGCAATTTTTCGAAGGAGGCAGCTATATATTGCATTACAGATTTGGATACTTCTTCAAAAGCAGATACTATTTGGGGGGTAAGATCGATTGATGAGATATTTCTTCAAAACTTAAAGTCTAAAAAGAGACTCATTATTACAAAGACCAGAATCCAAGACCTTCAAATCCCTATAAGTGATGATGATTTGCAATATATTCTCTATAATAATGAGATAGAATCAGTTGATCATTTATTTTTCCAATTACCTCAATAGGTTAATAAGTTGTTGATTGTTGATTGAAATTTGTCATTGGCGGGCAATGTGCCACGTTCCCAAACACTTTTTCCGATCCTAAATGTAAAAATTAATTAAAATATTTATTTTAATTAGATTTATGCATAAGAATTCAATTTACCTTGTTTTCTAAGTTTATAATTTTTCAAAAATTCCTATTGATTTTGTATCTGTACAAATTGATTGATAGGCAAAATTGCTGCTATTATTACCACTGCCATTGCTCGGGCTATTTGGCAGCAGCCAAAGAGCGCCATTTAGCCGTGGCTTTCCCCATACTTTGTATTTCGCTAATTACTTTAGACTGGGCCTGGGATAGGCATGATCAAATCATAGGCCCACATTCATGTTGAACCCAGATCACCTTAACCAGCCCACCAAACAATATAACTTCTTATACAAAAACTTTTGCATCGGGGCTAGTTCTTTATAATATGACTAATCAAGGTTTAAATTCCTACTAAAAGAGGTACTCATATTTAGCGCTCGAAAGTGCTTCGAATAGAATTGTTTCTAACATGATAAAACTTATGCGTAGGGGGTTGGAAAAAAAACCTTTGCTTTCAGCAGACTAATTACTATGATAGAGATCTCTGGTTACCTCTATGACTTGGAAAGGGTGATCAAACTAACTTTCCCTTGTCAGTAGTTTCTTTTGCATCTTCTGGTCTAAATTAACCAGCTTGCATAAGCAAATAGAAAATTCCAAAATACCGTTCTTTGTTTGGTCAATGCCAATCACCTCCATGCTATTCCTTGAGAGCTCTTGGGCTGTTGTCACTGTTCAGTTTTTATTTTTATTTTACAGTTAAAAAATTAGAATTTTCAAATATGTTCTTTTACAATTACCTATCAATTATGAAAATAGAAGAATATTTATATTTTAAAGTCAAGTTATTATTTTTGTTAAAAACAATACTTTTTTATGTTTTTATTTTAAAATAAAATTAATATTGGGGTAAAAAAACATATATATGGTATCTTTCTTTCTTATACAAAAATTTTCGGTGGGGGTTCGGCTCAACCCAAGTTAAGGGCAAAACGTTTGAATGGCTCTTCTTAAGTGATATTAATGTTGACAGAGTGAATCTATATTATACTCTCAGATATTAACTTGGACATTCTTGTTTTAGGATGCCGTCCAAGAAGGGGGCAGGGAATCAAATCCCCCCTCCTTTGGTGAGAGGGTATAGTTGCTATGGTTGAATCCACAAATGATGGGTTATACTATGGTATCTAAACTATCATATTTTATCATATGTAATGGAATCACTTCGTGATAGGAACTCCTAACAATTAATAAGAATATTTTATAGACAACATTATAAATTTGAAAGACAAAATGCATTGAGATTGCATATTTAAAATCAAATCTATTCTTCAACTAGTTTTTGTAATTAAGAATTAGACATAATACTTTTTTCCTTTCTTTTCTTTTTTGGCAAATGTAGATAGTACTTTTCTATTTAGAAATTGAAACAGATAAAGTTCACGAAAAGAAACATTGTGATATATAAAACAGGCTATTGGTGATACATTTTTAGATGAATTATTGACACATGGTCAATGGATATATTTTCGTAAAATGTCTGAACATGGAGAGAGAAAAGTGGTAGGAGTTTACGTAGCAAAAAAAAAAAAAAAAAAGTGATAGGACTTTACCCTTTTTTTTATGTAGATATAAATAACCAAATCATACATTTTTTCGGTCGAAAGTTAAACATATATACATTAGGTCCTGCCTTTTCATTAAAAACATCTGTACAGCTTTAATACATAATAAATGTTTAATAAAGACTGACGATGCCAAAAGTACAAAGAAAACATACAGACCCATCTTCTTGTTACATGAATGTTCATTATTCTGTAGCGGTTACCATAAGAACATACTCCCTGCAGTCACAGAAAAATAACTTGATTCAACGTAGAAATAATTTGATTAATTTTTGTCTATCAATTTTATCCTTATAATTAATATTTAAATGTAAGAACTCTTTATATTTTTCTCTCTCCTTTTCAACCTCATTTAATGTGGGTAAAGTAAGAGAAAAATTTTCAACTTGACATATTTAATGAGATAATATATTTTTTAAATTATGATGAATTTGTTAAAGTGACCTAAACTGTGGATCAAAAGCAGCATGGCACTATCTTTTAGAGAAATTCCTAGGTATAAGGTACTCCGAGAACATCACGTGACCTATATGTTGACCAATGATATAATGCCATGTGAAGCAACTTTATAGCATCTGTCAGCCAACATGTCACACCTCCTGACAGATGTGAGATATCATTAGTGAAGGTGAGTAAGAAGATACCGTCTTATCATGAGTGAAACTTCAAACAGTCTTGAACCCATTCGCCTTTCTTCTTCCTTTACTCCACAAAGACTTCCCTCCTCTGTTCGGAGAACTCTTTC